TGATTCACACACTAATGAAGATGAGACTATTTCTAATGAGGTGGAGCATGATAGTGTAGAATCACATGTTGAAAATGATTTGCATGACTATCAACTTGCTAGGGATAGAAATAGAAGAACCATTAGCAAACCTGCGAGATATGTTGATGACTGTAATATGTCTGAGTTTGCTTTTCATGTGTTTGAATCCCTTGAGTGTGATGAACCTAAGACTTATCGTGAAGCATTAGAATCTAAATGTTCTGAAAAATGGGTTAGTGCTATGAAATGTGAGATGGAATCCCTTCGTGTTAACCAAACGTGGAAACTTGTGCCAAAACCTGAAAATTATTCTCTTGTGGACTGTAAGTGGTTGATTAAAATTAAGCAAGAACCTGAAAATGTTAGGTTTAAGGCTAGACTTGTGGCTAAGGGATTTACTCAAAAGGAGGGAATAGATTATGTAGAAATTTTTTCTCCTGTTGTCAAGTTCACCACAATTAGAATCATGTTGTCTTTAGTTGCTCAGTATAATTGGGACTTAAAACAAATGGATGTGACTACTGCTTTCTTACATGGTGATCTTGATAAAAATATTTATATGCACCAACCTGAAGGATTTGTTGATCCTAAGTTGCCTAATCATGTGTGTTTGTTAAAAAAGGCTTTGTATGGTTTAAAACAATCACCTAGGCAATGGAACATTAAATTTGATAATTGCATGAAAAATTTTGGTTTTAAGAGAAGTAATGCTGATCACTGCTTGTACTTCAAGAACACTTTCTCTGTTCCCGTTTTTCTTCTCCTTTATGTGGATGATATGCTAATCATTAGTCCTAGCTTAAAGTCTATTGAGCATGTTCAAAATTATCTTTGCAAAAATTTTGACATGAAAGATTTAGGAGATGCTAGAAAAATACTTGGCATGAATATTGTTAGGGACAGAAAGAAATCTACTCTTGTTTTAAATCAAAATTCCTACATTGATAAGATTTTGAGTAAATTTGCTATGTCTGATGCTAAACCTGTGGATGTTCCTTTAGCTGCTCATTTTGTGTTGAGTAAGGATATGTGCCCTAAAACTAAAGCTGAAATTAATGAAATGAAAAATGTGCCTTATTCGAATGCTATTGGTTCTGTGATGTATCTTATGATTAGCACTAGGCCTGATATTGCTTATGCTGTTAGTTGCTTGAGTAGATACATGTCTAATCCTGGTATGGCTCATTGGAATGCTTTAAAATGGATTTTGAGATACTTAAAATCTACTAGGAATATTGGTTTAACTTTTTCAAGAAGTGATAAAAGTGTTAAATTGATTGGCTATGTGGATTCTAACTATGCAAACGATAGGGATAATAGAAAATCTACTACTTCCTACGTGTTCACTTTGTGTGGTTCTTGCATTAGTTGGAAATCTCAACTTCAACACATTGTTGCTTTATCTACTACTGAGGCTGAGTATGTTGCAGCCACAGATGCTTTTAAAGAAGCCATTTGGCTTAAAGGTCTTTTATCTGAAATATGCTTGCTCGATAAGAATGTGGTTGTTTTTTCTGATAGTCAATCTGCCATTCAACTATGCAAAAATCCAGTTTTTCATGATAGAACAAAACATATTGATGTTAGGTTTCATTTTATTAGAGACATAGTTGAAAAGGGCATTGTCATGTTGGAGAAAATTCCTACGGAATCTAATCCAGCTGACATGGGTACTAAGTGTTTACCTGTTGAAAAATTTACCTTATGTCAAAAGATTTTAAACCTATCTCTGTGACTGTGTGCTGATCTTTTAAAAGATTTCATGAGTTATTTTTGGGCATGCTTTGTGATGTTGCCTAGTCTTCGTGACTTGAGAGTACTTAGTGAACTCTCCACCACTACGTGTGTTCTCATTTGTTGATTACACATTTAGCGGTTATTAGGCTATGATGAGTCCCGCGGTTCCTTGTCAAACTATGTGCACTACTTTGGGCCAAAGGTGGAGATTGTTAATTTATTTGGGTTGGTCCAAACATATTAATAATATTTGACACCCAACCCAGCAGCCCATTTACTCAAGCCCAATCTATACTCCTTAACCTAATTAAGCTTGCCTTAATTACCACCCTAATCTCCACTATATATTGAGGGCTTGCCTTTGTGTTTCTACACCGTGCAAAAATCCTTCATCTCTTTTGTGAGTCTTCTTGTGGGTTTTTTCTCTTGCTCTGTGTGGTCTCTCTGTTCTTCTCCGTTTTCTTTGTGAGTGGAGTGTGGCGAGGTTGGGTTGGGGTGTTGCTCCTTTTGGTACCTTTGTAGTGCACAACTACAGACCGTCTTTTACGGGTGACCTGAGCCTAATCGGAATAAATAAATACACATAACAGTGATGATTCATAAGGGTTTTTTGGAATTTTTGATTCCTTTTTTCACTCGTTTTCTCTTTCTTCATGTCATTTTTTCTTTTGCAAAAAAACTTCTTTCCCAACACCCTTAATGTTACGAATTTTTTTATATATTTACAAGAGCTATTTTTTATTCATCATAAACCCCCAGCCCTCACGAATAATTTCTAATCCTAGCAAAGATATACTCTCTTTCTTTTAAAACTAGTAATTTAACCCTTGCAAGACGTGATACTATCAGTTCCATTGACTTCTCCATCTCTGCAATTTTTTTCTTGTGCCTCGACGCTCCTCCTCATGAGCTAAACGCTCCGCTTCTTGAGCATGACGCAACTCTTCAAGCTCTTTTTTTTAATCGAACATCATGAGTGCTGAGCTCATCATCACAACACTCTTGAGAAGTGTAGAACATTGTTGCTCCTTCACGCGTAAAATTCGATGACAAATCAGCCGTCCCATAAAGTTTTCCTCTTCTCTTTCCTCCAACTATCTCTTGCCAGGTCTCTAATTTCTTACTGCTGTTGATATCACTTGTGCCATTTGTAGAACCATCTTCACTTTCAGCAATCTCCTTTATTTTCTTTTGATATGTATTCTGAATTATTAATACGTAAAAATATATATAATGACTTAACATATTTGAATATTAAATATTTATAATGTGTTCTGAAAAAAATTAGTACTTACATATGTTTCCAAAGAGCGTGAATCGACCCAACCTCCATCCTTATTCCGGCGAGTGACTAGAAAGGCCTCATCCACTTCCAATGGACGTTGTTTCTCTTTACTCTTTAAAATAAAAAAAACACAAAGAGTAGTGACTACATAAAGTAAAGAAACAAATAATGTGGAAAACTATATATGGATACTTCCCAACTACGTACTGATAATAAGCCATAGTAAGCCATATAGTGTGGCATAGATGCTTTTCATTAAAAAGCCTAAAAAATTAAGCTAAAAATAGTATATATGGAAATAGATGCTTTTCATTAAGTATTATGTAAATGCTTATCATGCCATTTGTTCAATTACATCGAGGTGTGAGACGCGACCTGTGGTGTGCAGTGCTCCCCCTTTACCGGAACCTCGATTCTTTGAATTCTGATTAGATATTAATTTATATTTATCTGAAGACCAATACGTTTTAAAGTCATTCCAAGCGGCCTCTCCACACTAGTCCGACTTTTTGTTCGCAACTCTAGCATGACGAATCAAACTAGAAAGCTGCTTTGATCCACTGCATTTCTAATTTTTTTTAGAGAAATTTACCTAAATAGGACTAAAACATAATGACTTTCCTAATATAGGACCATATGTTTTTATTTCCCAATGTAGGACCTTTGGTCATTATGAAGTAGTCATTATTCAAGTAAATGTCCATCATTACTGGACATTATTCCTCCCACTAGATCATTATTAATTCCTATTTAGGGAATAAAAAGTTTAAGTCCTACATTAGAAAAGTCATTATGTTTTAGTCCTATTTAGTGCAAATTTCACTTTTTTTCATGGTGTCAGTATGAGTGGGATTCCAAGTACATCGGTCCTGCATTTTAGATGACAACATCAAATTCATAACCTATTACGAGGAAATGATGTACACTAATTGGAGCAGAAATGGAAATATGGGAGCGCACTAGTGGGAGCAGAAATAGATGCACACTCAAAAAGCAATAAAGATGTTTCAACACCAAAGGATGACACGAAAGCCTCATCATCAAATCAAAATGCATATGTTTCCTCTTCAAATAGGAATACAGATCATCAGAAAACAACACACACAGTTCATCATCCAAAGATAATATAAATGTTTCATCCTCAAAGAATAAATCAGATAGCTAGTATTTCAAGTAGTGCTTTAATATATCTTTAATTGTGTGTGTACATTAAAGCAACCAGCATAGTATTTCATGCAGCATAGTATAGCCATCACACAGACAATTGACTTCAATTAAAATGGTCAAGAGTGATGTGGTCTAACTTAATTATTGAACAAGTAAAGCTTAACATGCATATGCTTTGGTTCTGCAGCTGTTCTTTCCTATGGGGAAGATCACTGTGATGATGTATGGGGGTCTGGCATGGTACGTCGTGTATGACACGGATAACCTTATCAAGCGCTACACTTACAATGAATACATATGGGCTGCTGTTGCACTCTACCTGGATGTCATCAACCTATTCGTATCACTCTTGACCAACAATTTTGTTCTGCAACATCGTATTTCATGTAGCACTACGCTCCAGATATAAATGTTTCATCCTCAAAGCAATAACATAGACAATTAACTTAGTATATAAAAGTAGAATCAAAATTGAACAATTTCCCATCAAATTTTTGTTAGAATAAAGGTCCAACGCTAGAGGGGGGGGGTGAAGAGCGTTTAAAATAAAATCGCAGGAAATTAAAAACGAGAGCGTTAAAGTAAAGAGCGTAAGGAAGGAGCACACCGAATTTTATCCTGGTTCACCACAACGTGTGGCTAATCCAGCCTCCCAAGAGACTCTCTCGAGCTACACTAACTCCGTTAAGCTTAAGGGTGCTTAACAAACCGATACAACTTGAGAACCCGAGTCACACGAGCCTCAACGCCTTTGCTCGGAGATACCGCACTCCAAGACTTCTCACGAAGGAACAAAGAACTTCCTTCGAGTTTACAACAAGGGAACAACCTCCCTTAAAGTGTATGAAAACACTTAAGCACTCAGGAATAAAACTCTCACAAATAGTAGATATGAGTGAACTAGTAAACGCTCAAGAACACGACAATTTCTTCAAGAATTGGCTCTCAAATAGCTAAGAAAAAATAGGAATGCTTATGCAATGAAAGAGTATTGAAATGTTGAAGAATTGTGTGTAAAATGAGAGGATTTGGGTGCCATTTTATAGCCCAAAATGGGATAAATCCGTTGCTAGAGTTTCCAACAGGATGAAGACAAATTTTTCAGAGTTGCAGGGTGATAATCGATTGTCTAGCCATGATAATCGATTATTGAAAGATTCCCTATCCAAAAGTTTAAAATTCTATCCGTTGGAGGACAACGGTAACCCAGATAATCGATTGTCAACTAGTAATAATTGATTATTGGTCCTCTCAGAAGATTCTAGGTTTTGGCTGCACAGACTGATAATCGATTATTGCAAATGTGATAATCGACTATTGCTTGCTTCAGAACTTTGGAGTTCAAAGTTGCAAAGGCAGATAATCGATTTTCACCAAAGTGATAATCGATTATCACCTAGCTAAAGTCTAGCCAGCTGAAACCCGTTTTGAAAAATCGAGGTCCAAAAACGAAGTGTTCCCAAAAGTAAAAACCAAGTTTGAAAAACATTGTATATGGTATAAAATAGTGAAACCAAGACTTTTTTGGTAAAAACCAAGTCTCCAAGGTCGTAAATATATGTTTTTGACTGTTTTCATGTGTTAGACCGATTGACCAAGATACAAAAGTAGTTTTTATAAAATAATTATTTGGGAACCTTTTAAAATTGCTCAGAGATAAAAGCGAGGTTTAAAACATTGAAAACCACCAAGTTGGTTCGGACGCCAAAAACCGAACGCCGAACACCGAATGCCGTACGCCGAACACCGTACGCCGACTTAGGTGATTTTGGTTCTGAGCAAGGACCAGGGATTTTAACAATAAAAAATTTATCAAAAATGTTTATTTTGATGCACAAAAATATTTTATGATTTGTAAAAATTATTTTGACTCTTTGAGAACCGAGACTTGAATAGATTGTCGGTTTTGATCACAAAAGACCGACTCGACTAAATCTTCAATTCTTGATCTTGTCCTTGAGTCTTTTAGGTCTTGTTCCATGCCATTCTTCACGCCTTGAGTTATTCAACGAAACTCTTCATATCCACGACGGTTTGGCAATTATCAAAACCTGTCAGAAATGAACACGACTTTAGTTTAACATATAAAGTGTGTTCCAACACTTTTCGCTCCAAAATTGAAGGATCTGACGGACCAATTTCATTTCAATTGAAAAAATTTGGCCGTCAATTATGAAGGGCATATGACGTACAAGAACTTATATTCCATGTCAATTTCAGCCAGTGCCACAATCGATTATGTGACGAAGGCCAAATGCAGTTTCCAAGGGTTTCCTCTTAAAAATTCACAGAATTTCTTAAGTCTCAGGACGTAATCTCCTTCCTTTTTCCATCACAGGCATTATTTGTTCTTCTGATGTGTTGCAGGCCACACAAGTTTTGTGAATTATTATTCATACTATTTCTCTACTCTCTAACAACTTTTGTTGCATTTTTCACTAGACTATGACATAGCCATACATTATGACTTTCTTGATACACTGATATTTAAATAGATATTGGTGCACAATATGTTCAGAAACATTCATTTTCTTTTTTTAATGTACCATGAAAGTCATAATGAACCCTTAAAGGATAACAAAGATAGAGAACCCTTATACAATATGTGCTTACTTAAGTTCATGTATACTATACAGAATGGGTTTCAATCACCTGCAAGTGGCCTCCTCGTAGCAAATTGATGTTCCGAAATCATATTAATAACACAGTAGGAGTAAGCAAATCATTATACAGGTTACAAGAACCAAAAAACAATCACTTCAACTTTAAAAATCATGATTCATAATGAAAGCACATAATGTTTTAACCTCACCTTAAAAAAATCCCACCATCTAGCCTTAACATCTCCAGGCACCAAAGTCCATGTCGGCCAAGCATCCCTATACGAGCTCATAATCGCATCGTTCAAAGCATCTAGCCCCGGTTGTGATGGAACCCACCTACAACGATGTTCAATTGTGAATTTTACATTAATCATTCTATAAGACAATGTATGAATGCTTAAAGAATATAGTACCCGTTTCCAACACAATGAAGAACCCATCGTCCATATTCATCCTTGGGCCACTCCTCTTGAGGTATTGCACGAATACGCTTACGCTGAGGCTTGCGTGAAGTTGTTTCAGTTTGATCACCTTCAAGGTTTTTGCCACTGATGTCACTATCCTCTTCATCACTCTCATCCTCAGAATAACTTTCATCCTGAGATTCCACACCACCGCTGGTATCATGGTCTTCATCATTATTGTTATCACTAGAGCTTGAGGAGTAATTATCACAGTCCTCGTCATTCCTGTCACCCACAAAATCAGTGCTTCGCATAAAGTCCTCACGTATGAGCGTTGATAATGGATGAAGCGTTGGTGTAGGCATCATATCAATCACAGGCTCAGTCTCCCAAGTGTTTTTTCACTGGATATAGGTTGTTTTTGATGTAGGCGATCACGCTGAATTTTGGATGCCATGACACTTAAACTGCCTGGATCTATGGGGTTTCCCTTATTCGTTCCCTTTCCTTTCGATGACACCATGGGAACTTTTCCGTTCTTGTTTGAAGACATCTGCATGAAAGAAAGAGTACAACAAACATCCAAGAGAAAATGAAAGCATGAGTGAAACAAACATCCAAAAGAAAGAGTACAACAAACATCCAAGAGGTGATGCTTTGAACCACAAAAGTCTTTGTTAAGAAGAAATGAGAATTTTGTATTGGGTCCTTTAAAATGAAAACATAAACTGAAATATGAGGCGGAGGGAATATTACACAAGTGTATGTGTGCATGCACGCACGCACCCATCCATCACTTTCTCTCTCATGGACTCCATTTCATTTAGTTATCTTTTCCTTTTCATTTTTTAGTTGAAATTTGAAAAACCAAGTAGTTCATGGGCAATCTAATATGCTAATGATCTGTTCATGCTCTTGACATCCAGATTTTGAATATCAAATATGTGGTGCATTTCTCTTTACAGTTTGCAGTCCTAAACTAGTATATGCGAACACCCTCTGAATATGTATCGTCATTGTTTCACGAAAGGCATCATTCTTAAAGGAGAAGTCTAATATTGATTTGCATTTTATGGAATCTTGTTTCACTACATCATCAGCAGCAGTTTTAAATTTATAGGATCCTTCACTCTGCCCACTTTTTTTTCAGGGCATGTATATTATACTAGAGTGACATATTATGTTATACTAGCATTTGAGTGATATTCTGTTCAAGTTTCATTAACCGCTAACTTCAATCGGAAATTGGCATAGGTATGTTTTTATATAGCCGTCTAAAGTTTTTTTCAATTTTTTAATTAGAATTGAGTCCTTTTTTGATTGGTTATTCAATATGTTACTCATCAATTGTTTTCTCATTTGGCCACATTTACATGCCGCTTCATTAGCAGTTGTGCTTTTCGATCGGGCAAGACATGTTAGTTGTGGTATGTCAGTCACTTATCGCTGGCGAGCAGGCCGCTTGGCCACTGTTTACATTCCCCAATTACTGGAAAAGACAAAAAACTTTATGTTTTTGTGTTTAGATGGAGGGGCATTTTTGGAAGTCAAAGTCATATTAATCAATCCCTTAAAATCAGTTTTAGTCAAACTTGGAAGTTGGATTTAGGACGGAGGGAGTATTTAAGATCATATGACAACTTTTATTTTTAATAGTTTAACTCCTCCACCAAGATATTATTTTAAAATGTATTAAGTGGATTGTCATCTCGGAATAACATATCACTAAACTCTTATAAGGATCATTGATTTGAATTAAGTAACTTTTCAATCTCAATCAAATATAAAGTTTTTAGATCTTCTTGAAAAATAATAAGTTCTACAAATATGGCTAAAATGAGAGTAAATCATTAGATTTTAACCCTATCTCACGTCTAAAGTTTTGTATATATATCATACGGAGTACATTTCATATTGATCTTTATATAAATAAAAAAGTACCTCTTTATAGAAATTAAAGACCTTACTTTTGCAATTTCATTAATCACATAAAGTCTCATATCAACCAAGGTAGAGCTCCCATGATTTTCCCAAACAACTTAAGAACGACTCATGGTATTTGTCAATAATAATATGACTAACAACTTTCTTAGCTGACTCTGAGATCCTAGCTCAGTAGGCTATTTTATATCTTCAATAAATTCTTTATCATTGGTTAATAACTCTAATATTTCACATGCATTCTCGAATGAGTTTTGTTCATGTAACATTATTGGTAACTATATCTTCAAGCTCTGATAGCGTGTACATCCCCGTTAGACCACTAATAGTATTTTCAAGTAGTACAATTTTTTTATTCCTATTGGCATACATTCCAGATGGCCTATCAATGGTCTTTGTTGCCTCGAAAACAACGAAGAAATTATAGCCACCAATGTTTTGTTTAATTTAGTTATTTTCAAAATTTTTAAATATGCGTGCATTAATTATGATGCTATATAAAAAGAAACATGCAACGGTTTTAGAGTTTCAGTACATATGATTCCTAGGAAACCTCCAAAAGATATTTTTGATTATGATAGATGTATATTGAATTGCTAAAATAAAACAATAATCATAAAAGTATGCACCTTTTTTGTGTGCTTTATTGTTGAAGTATTTAATTTTCTTTTCTCTTGCATTTCTAGTTGATCTCGTCTATATCTCGTTAAGCTAATTTTCCATGTTTTCAATTGTTATAAAAAAATTGGATGCTCCTACCAACTATACTTAAAAAAAGAAAATAAAGTTTGAATATTTATTCTAATTTTTAATCAGAATATTAATCCTCTCTGAACACGTATGTATTTAATCTTGAGTGATGGTGATAGTTCAAATGACACATTTCTTGAATTATATCTAAACATTTTGTAATTGAATTTTAAGGTATCAATTATTTTTATTAATATGACTCTAAAATCAAGTGATTTAAGTAAAAAAATCTAAAAAGAGAGCTAGTTATATTGTAAATTACTATATTTAATGTTTTATTAAATTTATAAGATTTAGAATTGAAAAAAAAGCAAGTAATATTGAAAATTACTATAGTTATTGTTTTATTAAAATTATAAGATTTGGCTTTTAAAAAAATCATATTCCCAATATATTCGAATATTCTATGAAAAAGATCTCTAATTTTTGCTCTTTAACCAAAATTATATGGTTATACTTTTTGTTTCTTTTTTTTGTTTTCATTTTTTGTTTCAATTTTCTAATTAAATTCAAGGGTAATGTTATTTTAGTTTCAAATTTTATGAATAATTTTTACATTGGTTTAATTTTTATATTAGAAAATTGTTTTACATTATTAATTTAAGTTAATTATTTATCGGAAAAACTTATACAAAAGTATGTAAACGCATAATATATCCATGTTAAAAGTTAATACATTAAAGGGGGAAAAGTTACAAATTTAAAAATAGTGCTTCTTTATTTTATAACACATGCCTTATTGTTATCACTTTTAAATCACACTACAATGTATACTCTTACATTATCTTGTCATTATACTAATATTTTGGTATTAAAAGATTTAAGACTCATATTTTGGTATTTTAATAATTTTTATCTAAAATCTAATAAAAATAATATATTTTTACATTTAAATGATAAAGCATCTAAAAGCCTATAAAGTATAAATTTTCTTGTAATTAACTAAAATTATAAAATTAAAACAATTACTTACAAATTTATGTATAGTAACCTTTTCTATACTTGAACATTATTACTCCCTCCGTCCCTAAATAAACTTCCTTTTTCGTTTTTTCTTTGTCCCAAATAAACTTTTCTTTTCCCTTAAAAAACCCCTTTTACCCCTTACTTTTTCATACCCTACCTATTACATCATACCTTTTTACTAATAATCTACATATCACATCTTACTTTTACACATCACATCAAAGGTATTTTTGGAAAGTCAATACCAAAATATCCCTCCCTTAAATCCTCAAAAAGTCAAAAACGGAAGTTTATTTAGGGACAGAGGGAGTATAACCTAACCACCTCTTTTTTTAAAAAAACTTAATGTAATTTTTAAAATATGTTGTTTGTTTTTTATTTCATATCAATATTGAAAGAAATATATTCAAAACTAACTTCATTTTAACTTATCATAAACAAAAAAATCATGTGAAATTTATTTAGAGGCGAAGAAAGTAGTGTATTAAGTAATAGAAAATTTTGTTAGAAATGAAGAAAAAATTGTGAATCATGAAAAAGTATTATTCAAAAAATGAATATAAATATTTCATAATTAAACTTAGTAAAATTTGTTTCAAATAAGAGTAAAAGATATGAGTTTTCCCTAAATAGGACCCCTTAAGTTTTTTCCTGTTTTTAGGAGTAAATTTGTGTGTTCATCCGTTTATACCCTTCGTCCACCACGCGCCCAACTTCCTTTCCATGTTTAATTAGAATTCTTTTTTCATATATATGGAGTACAATATATTGTCAACAATTAATAATTATTTTTCCCTTATTTTTAGGTAATGATCATCCAAACCAATCACACGTCCCCTTCATCATAGAGAGAAAGACCAAAGTAGGACTAAAACATTGAAAATATACCAAAAAATGACTTTCATGTTTTTATTCCCGAAATAGGACTTACATTACCAAACATGGTCATATACATTACCAAAAAAGTATAGTAATGTGCACACGTACACTGCCACATTACCATAATGCAAAGTCACATTACCACAGGGTAAAGTCATCGTATTTCAGGGAAAAAAACATGAAAGTCCTATTTTGATACTTTTCTCTATATTTTAGTCCTATTTAGGGTAATTTCTATTCATCCTATCACTAGTAACTCTGATCATTCCCTGCCGTCTTTATTTTATTGTCGTCATGTGTATCAATGTCGGTTCCAAAAAAAACTTAATTATTATGTTCATCATTTACTTGTCTATCCATCATTAAGTTGATAAGGTTTAGAAATATAATTCACAAGGTCACTAAATTGTGTCAAGGATTGAATTAACATGCACCATTCTGCTCATTACTACACACAATATAATAATCAATATTTTAGTTTACACCAAGGTTCCCATGACATTGCCCGGCAATGTTATGGGATGACCCGGGGGCGCTCCGGTGCCACGTTCGTAAAATTGACGGTTCCTACCCCCCTCAGTAAACCCCCCCACCCTGCCCCGACCCAAACACACACCCTCACCCTCTTCAATTGCACCCCACAAGTTGATTTTGACTTTGGAGTCAAATTTTGACTCCAAAGTCAAAATCAACTTGTGGGGTGCAATTGAAGGGGATGTGGATGTGTGTTTGGGTCGGGGCGGGGTGGGGGGATTTATCGGGAGGGGGGGAGGGGGTAGGAACCGTCAATTTTACGAACGGGGCACCGGAGTGCCCCCGGGTCATCCCATGACATTGCCGGGCAATGTCATGGGAACCTTGCCCGTTAGTTTAATGCACCCTCCGAAATAAAAAAGATTCATCCAAAAAAGCATCTCAAACTCCACGATGAACTAAAAAAACACATAACAATAAAACATTACCAATCCACATTGTGGATTGAATCACAAATTCCTCAATTGCATAAATATAATAGTCGAAACATAACGTCTTCCTCCCGAGGACTTCACTTCCTTCATTGCTTCCCCTTTCCAAACATTACAAAAGCACGTGATCTTCTGACTTGGTTCCCAATTAAGGCTAGTTCATCACAAAGTCATCTGTGAACCCATGGTGAATAAAATTTAGTTATACTCATTATAATGCATTTTCATACAATAACACTGATAAAATTAGACATTGTCTAACTCAAAATAGGCTCTCCTATTCCAGCCGCAAATAAAATTTAGTTATACTCATTATAATGCATTTTCATATTCATAACGTTTATTTTTTCATAGAAATATTTGTATATACTATTATCACATTTTTATTGTTCAGGTCTTACAACTTATGCAAATATCAGATTAAAGACCAATACGGACTATTAGATGTCATGAAATGGTTAGTAATATAATGGTGATTAATAATTTGGGACCTCATTTAAATTGCTTTTAGTAGTTCAGTTCTCACATCTTATGATAAATGTTAGAATATAAATAACTGTTCCTGGGCCACAACCACAAGCTTGAGCTTCTGGTTGAGTTGGTTCCTTGACATGGTATCAGAGCCTCGTTGACTAAGAGATCACGGGTTCAAAACTCAGCGCCACCCAGTTTTAAAAAAATTAAAGTTTCACGTGCAAGGCTCGAAAAAGACTACGCCTGCACGTGAGGGGGCGTGTTAGAATATAAATAACTGTTCCTGGGCCACAACCACAAGCTTGAGCTTCTGGTTGAGTTGGTTCCTTGACAATAAATAATGTCTTAACATGAAGCCAATATTATTCATTCTTAACTAACATTGTATTCAACACATAATTCCCCTACGAAAGCTTTGCATGAGCATATAATGGCCTAACTCTATCTACATTATTGTATGCAATCAAAACCTTATATGCTAAATAATGCCTTAAGATGAAGCCAATATTATTGATTTTTAACTTAAATTGTTTTCAACACATAATTCCCTACAGAGGTTTTGCATCAAGATTCAATGTACTAACACTATCTACAAAATTGAAAGGAATCAAAACCTCATAAGATATCTAACTGTAGGCGTGGTCATTACATTACATAAAGTCTTGCTAAAAAATTCCCAAAAGAATGTATTCCAATATTATGAGTAAACATATGTAATTCTAATGACTAATGTCTTGCAAATATTTGTCACACTTATTATATTTAGTCTATATTCAGAGTATTATACAATCACAAACCTTTACATCATGTGGTTAAAATTATATAACTGGTAAATTATACTATAATCATAATGTCTAATTCAATAATATAAAAGTCTAAATGAACTCATAACTTAGGTATATTAATTAGGACATTAAACCTTCTCATATATCTAATTGGGTAATTTACCTAAATAGAACTAAAACATAATGACTTTCTCAATATAGGACCATATGTTTTTATTTCCTAATGTAAGACCATTAGTCATTATTCAACTAAATGTCCAGCATTACTTAGACATTATTCTTCTCACTAGTCATTATTTAGTTCTATTTAGGGAATAAAAAAGTTTAAGTCCTACATTGGCAAATGACTTATGTTTTAGACCTAAATAGGACTAAAACATAATGACTTTCTCAATATAGGATCATATGTTTTTATTTCCCAATGTAGGATCTTTGGTCATTATCTATTAGTTACTATTCAACTAAATATCTAGCATTACTTGGACATTATTCTTCTCACTAGTCATTATTAAGTCCTATTTAGGAATAAAAAAGTTTAAGTCCTACATTAGAAAATGACTTATGTTTTAGACCTAAATAGGACTAAAACAAAATGACTTTCTCAATATAGGACTATATGTTTTTATTTCCCAATGTAGGACCATTAGTCATTATATATTAGTTACCTATTCAACTAAATATCCAACATCACTTGGACATTATTTTCTCAAACAATTTCTTCGCCATTACACTCCAAGCAAACCCCACAATGATATTATAAAGTTTTCAAATTGCAATGGTGTTTATACAGATGTTGACAAAAATCATGATACTCCATTCACATACATTTTAACAAACACAATACACGCATGTTCCGATCTTACAACACAAATTCACATATTTTGATTTCACTAAATTAAAAAAAAAAACTTACTCGCCTAAAGTGATTTCACTAGATTCATGGTCTGCACAATCGAAACTTCATCAACAAGGTCATTATCATCACCTCCATTAGACCTGAAAGCCATTGTTTTACCGTCAGCAGGTTTCATTCCGGAAAACATATTCTCTGCACCTCATACAAATTTCCAATAAAACCCTATTTTGGTTATACCGATCGACAATTGAGCAGCAGTAATGATCGACTTCGAGACCTGCGTTAGGAAGGACTTCGTTTATTGATGGAAACCAAGACTGAAACTAATTCCTTTTTTTTTGAATAAAATGGAATCAGGGGATATAAGAGTAATTTTATCTCTACAAACGTGTAGTCAAATAGGACCACTCCTATTTAGGTAAAAGCACCATCTTTTAGTCTTATTTGTGTAATTTACTCTTAAACTTATTCAAACATTTCATTTCGAAATAGTTTTTCATATTTTATGCCTTAAATTATGTGTCATACTAGGTGTAACAAGCCACATAAGTAATGCATATATGAAGTTTCTAAACATAAAAGTTTAATCACTTTATATAAACGATTTATTGTATATTTTTATTCTTAATAATTTAATATAAAGAATTTATTAAAAAAATTATTTTAAATAATTTTATTTTTGACCAAAAATAAAAGTTTAATCACATGTCAAACAATATTTAATAGAGTCTAGCTCATAAATCAAATGCCACATAATATGTCTCATAATTTGCCACATATATACCTCATATATACCTCATATTGTGCCACATGTCAAACTCTGAGGGAGTATAAAGGATTACTTGTCTAAAAAATTGTCTCAATTATTTATGTCCACTAGCGAATTTTTAACAATTTTTTTTTTAATTTTTAGAAAAAAACTTTTTATCCACAGGTAAATTTTACTCATTATATACAAAATTTAAGTTTGGTGTATCTCTTGAATTTAAAATAATCTCAGTTAAAAATGATTTTTATTCGTATGTAGGAAATTGGTTTTACTCTCATTTGGACTTGTAATAAGAAGTCACAGTTGGAATGACCAATTAATAATCCTAGTCCTACTTGGGAAACCTTGTCACGCACGTCTATACTTTCCTCCCTGCCCTGGCCTGGCCTATATATATATGTGTGCAACCAAAAGCCTTTTCTTTCACTTTCATCTTATTCTATAGTTGAAGAATAACAGATAGAATTAGTGGGCGATAATGGGCGGTGGCGCCGGAGAAGGGATGAACGTGTTGAAGAAGCTGGACGAAGCCAAGACTCAGTACTACCACTTCAAGGCCGTCGTGATCGCCGGAATGGGTTTCTTCACCGACGCCTACGATCTCTTCTGCATCTCCCTCGTCACCAAACTCCTCGGCCGCATCTACTACCACGTCCCCGGCTCCCCCAAGCCCGGCACCCTCCCTCCCAACGTCTCAGCGGCGGTCAACGGCGTCGCCTTCTGCGGCACCCTCGCCGGCCAGCTCTTCTTCGGGTGGTTGGGGGACAGGATGGGGAGGAAGCGGGTCTACGGCCTCACCCTGCTCCTCATGTTCTGCTCCTCCGTCGCCTCCGGCCTCTCCTTCGGCTCCTCCCCCCGCGCCGTCATGGCCACCCTCTGCTTCTTCCGCTTCTGGCTCGGCTTCGGGATCGGCGGCGACTACCCTCTCTCCGCCACCATCATGTCCGAGTACGCCAGCAAGAGCAACCGCGGCGCCTTCATCGCCGCCGTCTTCGCCATGCAGGGCTTCGGGATTCTCGCCGGCGGTGCCGTCGCCATGCTCGTCTCCGCCGCCTTCGACCGCGCTTACAGGGCTCCCTCCTACGAGGCCAACCCGGTCGCCTCCACGGCTCCCCAGGCCGACTACGTGTGGCGGATCATTCTCATGGCTGGGCCGCTTCCGGCCGTGCTGACGTGGTACTGGAGAGCGAAGATGCCGGCGCGGAAACCGCTCGATACACCGCCCTGGTCGCCAAGAACGCGGAGAAGGCGGCGGCGGACATGTCAAAGGTCGTGCATATTAGAAATATTAGAATGAATTCACATCATAATATTCATCTTTATTTGAATACATCACACTTGGTGTCTATAAATATTACAAATTACATAAAGAGGACAATTAAGGAAGGTGATTGGAACCTAATCAAATATCTTAATTGGTAATTTGATTCCAATCAAGGATATTATCAAGATATTACAATCAATTCCTTTGTTTGACATTTCTAACACTCCCCCTCAAGTTGAATCATCCGTTCCAGATATTTAACTTGTTTAATGTTCCTTGAAAGACTTCAGCCGGAACTGCTTTTGTGAGAATGTCTGCCAATTGATCTTCAGATCGGACATATGGAAGACTGATGATATCTGCCTCGAGTTTCTCTTTGATGAAGTGACGATCAATCTCGATGTGCTTGGTACGATCATGTTGTACCGGATTCTCTGATATACGAATAACAGCGGTATTATCGCACATCAGTATACACTTTCCCTTTGGCGGATACCCCAAATCTTTAAGGAGTTTCCTTAGCCAAAGAACTTCGGTAATTCCTCGAGCGATACCTCTGAATTCTGCTTCTGCGTTTGATAGAGCAACTACCTTTTGTTTCTTGCTTTTCCATGTGACCAGATTACCTCCAACAAAGGTGAAATACCCTGAAGTGGATCTTCGATCGTTTGGATTCCCTGCCCAGTCAGCATCTGTGTAGGCTTGAATATCTAAGTGACCATGTTTTTTGAATGTAAGGGGCTGTTTGTTTCAGCCTCTTAATGGTTCAGATGTCTGAATGGTTCAGCACTTAATGGTTCAGACTGTTTGTTTCAGCCTCTTAATGGTCCAGATGTCTGAATGGTTAAGAGATTTGTCTCTGAATGGTTAAGTATTATACAGAGTCTCAATGGTTAAGACCTCTTATCTGAATTGATCAGACATTTACCTCTGAATAGTTAAGCAATATACTAGCTCTTAATGGTTCAGACCTCTTACTGATTCAACACTTAATGGTTCAGACCTCTTACTGGTTCAGCACTTATCTATTCAGAAGTTACCAAACAGCCTCTAACTCCCATATTAATGGTCCCCTTAAGATATCTCACAATTCGGATAGCTGCATCCCAATGTTCCTTTTGTGGTTTGTGCATGAACTGACTTACCACTCCGACAGCATATGCAATATCAGGTCTTGTGAGTGCGAGGTATATAAGTCTGCCTACAAGTCTTCGGTACTTATCTTGATCAGCTTGTATTCCTCCCTCATTAATTTGAAGTCCGTGGTTAACCATCATAGGAGTGATAGCCGGTTTGCAATCCATTAATCCAGTTTCAACTAAAGGATCAAGGATATACTTCTTTTGACAAATAAAGATCTCCTCTTGAGATTTGAGAACTTCAATGCCAAGGAAAAAATTAAGTTCTCCAAGATCTTTCATGTCGAATTCCTGGAATAACTTGCCTTTCAATATAGCCATCTCTTCTATGTCACTGCCAGTAATTATCATGTCATCCACATAGATGATCAAACATGTTATGAGCTTGCCTCGTCTTTTAAGAAACAAGGTATGATCAGAGTTACTTTGACGATATCCATATTTCTTCATGGCTATCGT